CTCAGAAATAGTGTTTTTGTACTATTCACTGTAGCAAAGGACAAGCCTTCCTCTTAAGGTTTGACACGCACTCTGTACCTACCATATTGCATTAAATGATCATTTAATGCACTGGGTATAAATAGAAGTGTTTCTTCTCCATACAGAGAGCACACATCTCTCTCTAACCTTATTCTTACTTCAAGCATCTTTCAGCTTAAGTAAATGATCTTTCTTTTAACAATTTTTTTCTTGTATTTGCTAAAACTTTGTGTATAACCAAAGATTGTTTAGATAGGTTTTTATTACCTTATCTTTCCGCAAACAATCTTGTAAAATCTGTATTGATCTTCTCTATCAATATATATTTTAAATTTGAAAATATTGTGTTTGTACTCATCTACCCCCCTTATACAAATTGTTTCTCTTCTTGTAGACCCTTACGGGACCAACAAGAACTCGTCGAGATGAAGGGGAAGGTAGAACCAGAATCTGACGTCGATTGATGAAGAAGGTAGCGATGGTGGCGGACGTTGTGTATGGAGCGCACGCCGATTGATGAAGGGAAGAAAGGGGTTAGGTCTTGAGGGTAGAGTGGTAAAAAATTTCTTGTTCCATTTAGTTCTAGGGGGTAAGGGTGAACAACTGTGTCCCACCCGTGTTCTGCTTAGTTCTAGTTAGTTCCACATAAGGCCACACCAAACATAGGACAATTGTGTTTTGTCATGTCTTGTCCCACCCTGTCCAGCGTACCAAACACACCCTAAGTAACCGACTTTTTGGTTTTTGACTCTTGGATAATCAGTTTTCAAGGAGTTGAAAAAAAAAGAATTGGTTTTTAATTGAAAAGGTGAAAAGTTGATTTAAATTATTTCACATCACTTTTTAAATTTTAAAAATCACACAAAAAGAAGAATGGGGTGGTGGTTTAAACCACCATGTAAACTATTTTTTTTGCCATTGACCTTTGAACGGCGAGTTCTTAATTGTGGGTTTTGAAGAGGGTTTTAAAAAAAATACATTTTTAAGTAAAAAGGTGATTTCCATCACCTCACTTCACCTTTTGAAAAATTGTATTTCCAAGGTGATTTCAAGATGACAAATCTTTTAGATTTGATTTTTTTTGAAATAAAGAAATGGGGAATATGGGATAACCAATATGTAAAGCAATTTTTGGTCATTGGCATCATGGATAACCGGTTTTGGTGGGGTGGTTTTCAAGATAGTTTTTGACAAAAGTATTTTTGGTTTAATGATGACAAATCTTTTGGATTTGATTTTCTCAAAAAAAAAAAAAAAGGGTTAATGGTTTAACCACCATGTAATGCATTTTTTCCTTTGTATCAAGTATTACATTTTTTTGGGAGAATTTTCCAAGGTGGTTTTTAACTTTTTAAACCAAAAATCAAATGTTGGTTTTCCTTTTTCCATTTCCCTCTTGTCATTCTTTTCCAAAGAAAAAAACCAACCCCTTCATCTTTCTGAAATTTTCCTTCAACCTCCATGGCAAGACCAAAGCAACCAGTTAGAAACCCTAACCCCTCTTGTCGTTCAAATCGCCGCGTACAAGCCGTCATCGCCACCGCCGATGACTTTCCAAACGTCGGCAATCAAGCCATCTCATTAGCAACTGCTGGTTCGACCATCCATTCGTCGATAGCAGCTGGTTCCTCCATCAAAAGTGTTGCCACCGCTCCCCAAAGTCAGCTGACGGCCGCCATTGCTCGGCTGCTCTAGCCCTCGAACGTTGTAGCTCCGCCGACCAGTCAACTTCCATCGACGCCTATGACCACCATTCTCACTTACGAGGAAGGTCATGCCATTCTTACCCAATTCTCATTTGATTTTTTAGGACTGACCACGAAAGTTGCTCACAACTGCCAAGGTACCGGCTTCCGAGCACGATGTAATTTCGTTCTATCATTCTTTGCTTGATCAAGGCACCATCAACCGAATACATAAAATCATGACTGATACTACTCTATGATGGTTGGTCAATGGGAGGAGTGCAACTAGAAGATGGGTGCCATTTCTGATTCATTGCAACAAATCAATGATCGAATCACCGGAGTTGAGAACCAAGTTGCTGGTTTGACTGCTTGCTCAGAAATATTTTGGACGTATGCACATGACCGGAATAGGGTGGTGATCAAGTTTTTGTTTGCCAAAAAATGTTATGATGGCTGCCGATATCCTGTGCTTTCCTGGAGGTCTTTATCCACCACTAGGGATGGTGATTTACCCCGACCCGGTTGAGAACCCGGTTCACCCGACCCGAACGGGGATGAGGATTCCCCGCTAAAACGGGTCTCGGGTCGGGGATCCCCGGTAGACTCAAACCAGGGACGAGGGATGTTACTCAAACCGGGGTCGGGGTCGGGGATCCCCGGTAGAATCAAACTAAATGATACTATTTGTAGGGTTTGACCGGGGTTTTACCGGGTTTTGACCGGGGATTACTAGAGATTTGACCGGGGACGGGATGATAATCCCCATACCCGCCGGAGACCGGGGCCGGGGCCGGGTATTACAAAACCCGCCCCATCCCTGCCCTGTTTCCATGCCTATCCACCACAAGTTCAACTCCTAAAAATTCGTCGTACTTCCACTTCCGATGCTATGAGGCAACCTTCGGCCAGTCAAGGTGAAGCGGGTAAATCGGATTGATTTCTCCTAGGTGTTTCCTCATCATTTTTTTGAAACTTTATTTGTCCAACTCTTTTGCGTATGTGCTACATTTTCCAACCTCGCCTTTTATGTTGATTTAACGAGGTTGTTGATACTCTTATCTTTTGTTAACATTTTCGGCGTTGATATTTTTGTGGTTTCGTTAGCTTGTTCTTTAATTTCATATACGATTTCTTTGATGGATTCTTTTAGGTTGCAAAAATTAAGTAAGACGTAGGTCATCTTTCATTTTTAGCCGAAACACTTTCCCTCATTGCCAAACCAAACACTTTAACCTGGTCCAATGCGGACATTGTTCGGTTTAAGTTTGGGGGAGTTTGTGCTCCAAGGTGTTGTTTAGAAAAAATAGAAGTACCAATTGTCTTCGAAAAATTGGAAGACACAAAAAAATAAAGCAAAATATTTTAACCCAAAGATCAATAGTGAAAATCAAAATTTGGGTTTCTAGAAATATCAAAAATACAACAAAAAGATGCGATAAATTGAAATCATTTAAGCCATGTTGTTATTTTAGACAAGTTTGGAGGAATTTTTTTTTAGCCAAATACACTAACCCGATAAAGCCCTACCGATTAATTTTTACACCTCAAAGATCAAAGAAAGGAAGTCGTACATCATCTAAGCTTAACGAGATTTCAACTTCCCTCCGTAAGTTTTGTGTTTTCTCGTTCCTTTTTGTTCTTATCTCTTTCATTTTCTTTACTTGAGGACAAATAATATCTCAAATTTTGGGGGTGTGATAACTCTCATTCTTGAGAGTTGTTTCTTATTTATTTCTTCCATTTTTGCATATATCAAATACTCAATTTCCTTGTTTTTCTCCATTTATTCTAAAAGTTTAAAAAGGATGATGAAACACAAAGAAAAAAAATTCATTCCAAAAAACTACACTTTCTAGCAACTGCCCACAACGGGAAGTTCACGAATTTTTGTTAGTCTTTTACTTTGTGGATGATGTTTGCTTGAAGATCTTGTTCAAAGATATACTATAGCTGGAGTTGCTTGTAAAATTGTACTTTTGTATTATTTTAAGTGGTTGTTTAATGGTTTTTGTCCCAAGGTTTATTTGTGCTTAATTTTTTTTGGATAAATGGGTCATCTTTATTCATTCATCTCTTATATAAAGAGGCCTAGGGGTTCACTTTGAAGATCATCTCTTGGAAGCATTATCAACTGAAATTTTTCTCTTATTTTCTTGAGTTTTAGCATGTAATTATCTTATTAATTGTAATCTGTTGCCCACAGTATCACCACTGTAGACAGCAGACTTTTGTTCTATATTAATGAAAGTTGCATTTAAGTTTTATTTCTTGTCTTATATTATGCTTTTCATGTTTATTATGAGCTAATTTACTCGTATGGGTGTGGGTGTGAATTTAACTTAGGATTTTTATACAATATTTGAGTGTTTTTAGTTTTACCACTTCGTAACTTGGTCACTTAAGACGGGACTTAAACTCGACGCGGATAAGCCGATCACTTTGAATTGTTAATATTAGATCTTAAACCCAGAGATGGGCGGATCCGAAATACGCCTAAGTGATGCACAAAGAACTCAAGAAAGTCTTTGAAAATTACGTAGAGATGCAAATTTTGTATGTATTTAGCTAAGGATTAAGCGATGGTTATTCTTATCACAAAGAGATTTGGATATGAATTTTATTTCTTCTCTGTTTAGCTAAATTGGCAAGTTTCGAAGTGGTGAGAATAGGAACTTTGTGGGATCTGTTTATAAATCTTCACTTTCGAGAGATTGAAATATTTATAAACATCTCATAAGTTTCTGACCATTATATTATGTTTTTATCTTAAGAAATACTTACACCCATGCCCATCTTTTTATTTTGCAAGTCTTTTTCGTTTGTGATTATTCTTGTAAGCGATCATAGTATCAACGTACACTTACACCGCCACTGTGTGGACTTCATGCCCACTGTGTGAACAAACATTCTAGGTTTGTGATTAGAAATTTTAGAAGTCTGATTCTGGTTCTTGTTTGCTCTTTTAACCAGTTCCTCTACCAAATAACTGGAACAAAACCAAGGACAAATTATTTTTTGAAGTTGTGTTATAAATAGTTATTTCAAACAAAAGTGCTCTAATCAAACAACATTAAATGCATCTACTTTTGATGACATGATTTTTCGTTTACTTTTAAAAACCAATACTAATATATTGTTTACAAGGACTTGATATATCATATGCAATAAACCATTCAAAAGTCTAAACCAGTGGACTCCTTCATGGAACTAACTTTTTAGCCATGTTAAAAGTAGCAACACCGATAGATTCGAATTAGGGTTCAACCAGTTGTGGTGAATAACTACTTTGGTTCAAGCGTCCGATGTGAAACAATAGAACAAAAACCTGATACAAATTTACAAAAGCCAGAAAAGATGGAACCATATCTTTTGCAGGTTTCTACACACTTTTATGTTCTATACTGTCAATAATGTCTATGCAGTTCTTCATTAATGACTTGGCCTGCTCGTTTTTTTCGATTTCCCATTGATGAAGAAGCTCGTTTTTAAAACCTACTTCAGCTATGGGTACTTCCGGAAGGTCTCTATATAGCTTCGTCAGTTCCTGAAGACACTCTGAAGCTGCAATGTGAACCTGAGAGTTTGCAAGGAAAAAGAAAAATGATTGGTTAGATAGTTGCTAGCTTTAGTCTTTGGTAATACTCCTTTACCGTCCACATTTCTATTTTAGTTTGTCTTCAAATAAGTACCGACTTTCAAAAGTAATTGTCTGTTTTTCAATTTTACCTTTAACCGTGAGAAGAGAAATTCATTACCCCCTCTGTTATTAAGAGGGTAAAACTGTCATGTAAGTGTAGCATGGCAGGCATTTATTTTGGGAAGGAGGGTGTAGAAACATAGCAGAAAACATTGCAAATTTTTTTCTTCCCTGACCAGGAGTGACTGACCGACTGGAACAAAACTGCATGTTTCTAGTAACTGGTCCGGGCTTAACTGCTGGTGTGATCCGTCTAATCTAGCATATTTTTTTGCCAGTAAATCCCACTAGGAAGTAGGGTCTGAGGGTGAGATGTATTGATGTACGCAGACCTCCTCTCTAGCTCAAAAGAGTAGAGCAGTTGTTTCCATGAATACCCCTGGCTTGTGCAAGAGTGTGAGAAAAAGGGTAGAATAAACAAAGACCAGCACATGATGAACATAGAATCCGCAAAATAAGAAAAGGTAATGGGTACCATTGAAAACATACAAAAGGTAAGGCAAGTCAAAACACACATAAAGCTAATACATATCCCTAGCCTACACTACTCCCGACCTCTCCAACTCCTTTCTGCCCGACCACACTAGCTATGGGTCCTCGTATCTAGTCTGGTACCCTAGTTATCCCTTTCAATATCTTGCAATGAATAGCCAACACCATTATGTACATTTTATATACAGAGTGTAAATGACATGAGAAAGAATGACATACCTGGGCAATCTTTACTATGCTTATACAATCAATCACTTTTGGTGACACAGAATAAAATAGCTGGAGGTAAAAACCAAATTACAATTAGAATCCAACAATTATAAATTTAGTTCAGAAAGATGGTTGGCAATGAGCTTCTGTTACCTCTATAGCCAATGCTGATGTATCAACATGTTGGCTAGATTTATCCGTGTCTTTCAACCCTTCATTTATCCTTGAACATAGCTCTTTAATGGACGTGAAGACTGAAACTTTAACTGTTCGCAACAGCGTTAAGTATCATATCAAAGACATACCACAGTGAAAGTGAAATAAACAAGTACTTTAGTGCATACCTATCCAAGGAATACCAGGTGCTAGGGAATTTAAATACACATGTAGCAAGTCCTTTTGCCATTTGAGAATGTCACTTAATCGTGCAACAACTACACAGGATGTAATGCAATCGACAATCTTGTCATGGGGAACAGAAGAATCGTCTGTCTGATTTGCCTCTGTGTTACAAAAAAGTAAGGAACAATTAACATCCGGGAAAGTAATATATCTGCTTCTGTTTATCCCCTTCTTGATGATAAATTTGATCATGCTTTAATTATCAATCAGCAGCTCATATCTATGCCACAATTGTTGTCTAACTAACAATGACAATTTCGATGAAGCGAATATCTCAATCATCAATCCAGGTATAGAATATATTATCTCTTCTCTTGCAATTTACATCGTCTTCTTTGCTTCTTTTCTTTTCTCTTGGTCCTTTTCTGATGTGTGTTAAGCTGAGTTCATGAATGCTCGGTCCCATAAGAGGTTATCCTTAGCAAAGTGCAAAGCAGGTTGGGGCCTAAAGCAATGACCTAGGTCACTTTAGGCTAATTATTTGCTGAAGCTTTGAATGACCTCTTTAGTAGGTTTGTACAAGTGCTATCCTAAATTGATTTCTAATTTTAAAATTTCTCTAGATTGTAGCATCAAAAGTAACAAAATGTGTCAAGAAAAATAAACGACAAGCACCAAAATAGTATTACTTGGAGACCCCCTATTTTAATACAGAGAAACCCATTATTTTACCTTGAAAGTACACACCATAAGTTTTTATATTCCCCCACAACACGTGTCACACAGTAATATTGCCAAGCACTACGTAAACCTATACGGTCACATGGAAAGGATACCTATGCTTCGATATGGATGATGAAAAACACGAATAATATCATGTTGACCATTAAATTGTTATTCCAGCAGAATAGCTAAAGTATGTGTTAAAAATGTAACTATGATAATTACAGAGTTTTATATGTAAATGTATTTACATATAATTTTATTAACGATTAATAAAATTAAATAGAACATTTATTTAAGCTTAATGAACTTTTAAATAGATAGGCCTAATGATTTATAACAAGCCCCGCCCATGTTTGAGAATTATGGTCTATCTATAACACCAATGGCCACCTATAAATAAGGTGATAGGCCTAAGCCTAAAGAAGCTAATCAATCTTTTAGATTTAAAGATTATCAGAAAAAACAAAAAAGAAACCTATTTTCTTTTCCTGATAATACACATACTAGAAATCTAGGGTTTCGGGCTACACCCTATGGAGGCCAGACGTGTTCGTGTGTGGATCTACATAGAAGAAACCTACTTTGGTTTCTAGTGCTCCGTCAGAATCTACTAACAATCTCAAAGGGAAAATTCTAAGTACCCTTTGGTTTGTTTAGATTCGTTTTGGATCTGGATAAGGTTTCTTTATTGAAAAGTTTTCTATGAAAGTAACCTAATTTAAATTTTTCCGCGGCATTTTTAAAATGTTACTTTCGACATGAAACCCTACACCCACCATAGTCTAGAAGGAGTTTGTTTAACAGGTATTATCTTGCAAACCAAGTTCAGCATCTCTAAATGTTACATAAAGAGCTAAGTTGTTTAAAAACCATATCTGCTTATACTTGCAAAGAGATAAACATGAAAATGCACTAGGTATGATAACACTCACAAAAGCTGGAGGTGCTGTTTGGACCTCAGCATAACCATTGGCTAGACATGAACATGTTCTGCTCAAGGGTATTCCAGATATGGTCCAATAGTCAAATAGCATCAATGGGCATTTATACTGAGAAGTCAAAAGGCAGGGTGTCCCTACGCTATTTTAGGGAATCCAATGTACGATCATAGGGGTATACTGATATGCTGATTGGCTTGTTGGGATCTATAGGTGCAAATTTGTCTTCAAATTTTGCAACACAACATCTACTGGCTAGTTTCTCCAACAACCATTTCCTAACATTTAGAAGTCACCTTGTCCAAATTAGATGACCTCCAATTTTTGCTTTATAGTAGAAGAGTTGTGAAACCAACATATCTCTCCAAGAGTAATCATCTCCTCTCTTCTTCCGCCCTTTTTCCATCCCTTCTCTCTATCTCAATTCTGAAAGAACAATTATTGAGTGTGTTCTTTAACATCTTTATTTGTGTTTTGTCATATTCAACGTGAAAAATATAAGATTCTAGATGCGACCCTATATGATACAGCACATAGAGACGAGATCTATCATACACAAAAAAGGTAGTTTTCTATGTGAAACTAGTTGCCGTAGGGCACCGTTTTGTTTCATTTCCTTGAAATATATGCTGATTCACCTCATCCCTCATGAGGAATTGCCAAACCATTTGACTCTTCAACCATTCCAATATAAAGGATTAGTCAATCAACACATAGATGGTAAATGGGTTGGTTTGAAAATAAATTAATTGCTAGTTGTGGAATATTATTCTCGTCAAACTTAAACCTAACAAAAATAAGATCAAGACTGATAAGAATAAGGTTTTGAACAATTTTGCTCCCTTTCGGCGAAGTAAATCAACCTAAGGTTAAGATAAATAAGGGTTTAATTCGGACTTTTCTTCGGGCATGTATTAGCAGATGAGATATATATATATAGGTTCGCGATGCATTGCTACTAGRAATCAAGATATTGGGGTTGGACTTGTCAATAGATTTATAACTTTTAGAGCACAACCAATCTCTATTCGAACCCCCTTACTTGTAGGAGCCCGTCTTGGTTTTGTCAATTATGTTATGGCTAGAGTCCAGCTCATGACGACCTGGTCCAATTGGGCGAAGCTGTAGGTATTATTGCAGATCAATCTATTGGAGAACCAGGTATTATTGCACTAGGCACTCTGCTCTGGTGCACACCTGCAACCGTTATGCAGCTAGGGCAAGGCTATGTAAGATTGTGAGTCGCCATGATAAATTATATTAGCATACCATGATTTCACATATTATAAATAATCATGCTTCAAAAAAGGCATCTCCTTGATTTTAGAGTTACAACGAAAGCTCTCATCTGTTTAGAGGTTGTATGGAACTTAACCAAAGAACACTATTTAAAAACTAGAACATGTTACTTGGACCTACGGCATAATTATTTATATTATTTAGACATAAGCAGCTGAAAGTGAAGTACTTGTATTATAACATGTTCCAAGTGCAATCTAGAAGGCTCACATGATTCGCGCCAAAACATATCATCAAATGGAATGTACCCTTCAAATATAGCGACATGAACAGATTACGTAAAAAAAGCATTATGAATTAAACATGATCTCGATAGAAAGTGGATATCTAGACTTCTATTGAAGAAATTGAAGCTTTTGGAAAGAAAAAAGCATATCTGACCTGCTTTGTCACCATCATTTGGTGAAGACACTTGTTTGGATATAGAGTTGAAGGACAAATTGCACATTTCGAACAACAACGGGAAGACCACACTAAAGAAGTCTGGATTTTTGAAGGCTTTTAAAACCTATTAACATATGCAAGTCAAGTCAGTTCACAAAGCAATGCTTGAAAACAAGAAAGTATACCACTAAGTTCAAACTCTAATAATAAACCCATCCACCAACTAAAGGAATAAAAACACATTATAGTGAGTGAGGAAAAGTTAAATTAGAGAAAAAAAGCAAACTAACCTACGAAATACTTTAAGAGAGTGAGCGAGGGAGAGAGAGAGAGAAATGTTAGAATTTCCAGCTAGATAAGATGGCCAGAATCAAAACGGGCTCTGCTATTCAATTGTTTCAGTACCTTCTATATCTAGATACATTGTTCGTTATATTCAAACTGTTGAAGGTTGTCATACTACCACCAAAGTACATACTAGAATCTTACCCCACAATGAGCCCATGCCGCCACTAGAGAAGCATCCAGTTGAATAACAACATAAAATTGCAGTCAACATTTGATCATTTTTTTTATTAACCTAGATATCCAACCCGTTATGCGAGCCGACTAATCCCAGGGCGACTACCTGCTTTGCAGATAGCCCGGAGTCACTGCTTTTGAACTTCCATGGCCACAAGGGGATTTTTATTCCTCCTTGGATTTGAACCTGGGACCTCCAGGTACTTTTGACCTTTGGAGCCAAGCTCAAACCAATCAGGCACCACCCTTGTGGCTCAACATTTGATCATTTTCTCCTACAGATCAGTAATCCAAACTCTCCGATCTATTCGTTTCAATGCTTTTATGTTTCTTAGATGTATGCGATGTCTAAATTTTAATCATCTTTTTGGCCTTAATACTACAGACAATTTTCAGGTCCATATATGTTCACTCTGAATAATGATATAGATATGCCTTCCCATCAAGGTTTGTTACAAGAGCTATACAGTGATCATTGATTCTAGGGCTCAAAAGGGGTATAGGTCATAAATGGCATTCTCAAGAGGTGTTTTCCTAAGTTACAATATGATCACTCCCGCATAACCCTATTCTTTAACAAGTGGTAGAGTGATGGCCTATCAAGTGAATTGTTTCTGCAAAAGTTACGATTAAAGAGTCTGCTCACTTTTCCTGTCCCACCTGATCCGATCTGGCTTGATTCTTCAACCTTCCATTCTTGATTACCCTGAAATCCTAGTTAAGGTTCCTTAAGCCCCTTATTACTTGGTCTATGATTCAAGTTCAGCTACAATTGGAACCTTCTGTAACAGCCAATCTAAAGAGGTTAAGAAAGTGTACTTATACACCATCAAATCGATGCTAAATGGTACCATCAGTTTGCTAACTGCTTATTATTAGTGTGCAGAAAGTTAAAAACCGAGTAAATGATTTATCAGGTCAAAAACTATTAATAATATAGTGATCAAGGGGTAATATGATATCTATTGAGGTGAATGTAACGGTGTAATTAATTTATAAAAAGAATGAAGAATTTAGAAGATATTACATCAAATAAAAAACAATATAGAATTTTAGTCTTAAAACTAAATAAAAAAAAAAAAAAACAAATAACGATGATAAAAGAATTGGAAAAAAAGGGGCTCTATGAAATTAATAAAAGAACTAAAAAGATGCTGGAAAAAGGGGATGTTAGGCCTGTGGGAGGTGAAAAGGTGTTTTTATTTTGGCAGAAGGTGTTGGAGGGCGCCATGTGAAGTGGCGGGTCACTTGGTGCCACCTCCTCAACTCTTGTATAACTAGGACAGCCTCATTTCTTTACCTTCTTTTACTTGCAAACTCAATCAGAAAACTCTATAACAAAACACACACACATACATAAAACATAAGAGAGAAGAACAGGAGGAAAGGGTAAGCAAGGGCCTTTAGAATAAAACCTGTGATACATACTAAATTTCAGAGGTTTTTCTATAATTTCTACTTGGAATTTGAAACTAGAATCAAGCCTTATGCATGTTAAGTGCTTTCATGCTATGTTTCATGTAATTCAATGAACTTTTATATATATATATATATATATATATATATATATATACACATGGTTCACCAAAGATTTCACTATCAAGCAAGTGAGGTTTGGCGGAGCATAAATCATAGAGGCAGTAAGACTGTGGCAGGGGGTCGTAGAAACGAACCCGCACTCTTGACGAAGGGCTCCAGAATAATAGCAGAAAGCTGAGACACCTACCGGTGGAAATCAGATTTCTTACAACATGAATTACATGAGTATGTTAACATGTGCTTCTTGTTATAATGAGGCTGTAAATTGGTTTTCTATATGTATTGACATGAGAATGTGATATCACTAAACAATTGTTACAATTCAATTGTTTAAGTTTCTATGTATGTATCACAATTGGGTGCTTTGGAGGCACACGTGGATAGTTCAAGGGAGCTACCAAAGTATGCGCCATAGTCGAGTTTTGTATCGGTTTGTATATGGTCTTGGTATTAAATTGTGTCTTAGTATATGTGTATTAAAGGTTAGATTGTGTATTGTAATTACGATCCATCGAAATGCTTTTATGTTATCAATTTCTGTTTTTACTTCAATCGTTTCCGCTTGGCTTTGGTTGTGAAACAAGGTTCGTAACACACTCCGTGTATCTCAATAAGGAGGCAAAACGTGCGCCACTTGGATTAATGGGCAAATTTGCAGCAGCTTAGGTATAGCACAACATTTGATGTTATGTAGTAGGAGGTTATTAATTAATTAAGTTGAAAGGTCTCTACAATCTTAGTGTGGTGTCTAAAACCTCAGTTTCTAAGGATATCATTTCAGAAAACCTTCCAGTTTAACGAATAATATATCAAGCATTGAGATACAAAAATAGTTGTGTTGCGAAGTTCCATAGGACACAAAAGTAAAGCATTTTTTGCATGGTCACAAGTGTGGGTTTGCTTTTTTCATGAGTAGCCAGGCAGATCACTGTTTTGATGGAGATGCATTATGATAATGAGGTGGCAATGCACGATTTCCATGAACAAGATTTGATGAATCAATCAAAGATTTCAAGGTAGATTACTGTTTTGTTCCTTTGATCAAGACAGTTTGAGTGAATATATAGGATACGAGTATTATTAGCATTATGTTCTTAAATTTTATTTCTCCCCTTCATCTAACATATTTAAAACCTTGACCGAAAAAGCATCGACTTCTTTAGAAGAGAAATGGCTTTTTTACCTTATCTAGACATTGAAAGCCTGCATCACGAAACCTCTTGACTTTCTTACTGCATGCGGATGTTACAACACTCAAGATGGCACTTTCACAGGACGGATCAGCAGCAGAAATTGCGGTATGGCAGGAAGTACAAAGAGAAGACAGCGCTTCCAACAGATCCTCCTTTCCCTGTCAGGTATTACCATTAGTTAGTATGAACCAGCAGGTAAATCAACACAAACTCATAGCAATATGACTATGTTTGGCATTATGTAAGCCTCATTAGATAAGACGCTCAACATTTTGATAGCCAGCAGGAATACCACCAAGGGTTAACAAGATTTGAGCTTCTAATGTGGCATGGAACATTGCCTGACATATGGATAATCCACTTAACCTGTAGATATTCCCCAAGTAAAATAACCAAATGGGTTATACTTTCTACTCCCTTTTCAAAAGAAAATAGCTTCAAAATGAGATGTCTGTGGTTTTCCTCTAATCTATTGCATTCAGGCAAGTTACAAAAACTTTAGAGACCTTTTTGCCATTTGGACATATTGCTGTGCGCTCTAGATGCAATGTTCCATAAATTTAACGTAACCAATTGACACATGTACACAGTTGCAAAAAGATTATCAAAATTTCATAAAGTACTGAAATTTACATGTGAATAAAAGGAACTAAAAGCAAAAGCAAGAGAAGAGCCCTTTTTATTCCATGCTCATTTATGCAATTCATCTTTTTCACCAAGGTCATATTATCATACCTAAAAATTTGTGTTAAAATAGAGATTAGGATCAGATATATTTGGGAGTTCATGTACACGAGCATCATAAAAGAGATGATAAACTATTCATATGTCCAATTTTAAGGTAGTCAAAATTGTAATCCACAAATACTATCAACAATCAAGTTACTGGTATAAACATATAGTCACATAAGCTAGAAATAAGCAACACAAGGTGAGAATCAGTAATTCAAAAATAGGTTAACTAAAAGAATTACAAGGTAACAGTTTTAAACCGATGAATAGTAATACAAATGAACTTCAGGACTTCATAAAGGTAGGTATTCAGTATTCACAAAGGTGCAGGTGAGAGTGATGTATGTGCGTACTGGGTGACTTGGTTCCAAAATAAGCTAAACATCTAGGCTCCAAGAAATTTCATTAAGACAATGAGGTCTGCCTATCATCTTCTCATATTAATTGATTGAGAGAGAGAGAAAAGAATTACCACAGTATGCACATTACAAAATACAATTACGTATGATTTTCATAGGAGCTGTATTGTAGATTAGAATATAGCGAGTATATCTACCAGTCTGTTACAAAGCTCAAATCATTTATTTCAAGATCCGTACCAGGCAGAAAAGAGCGGATAGTAATAGAAGCGGATACTTTAGAGATTTGCACAATACTTCATCACATGCACAGTTCCTAAAATTGCCTTAATTTGACTTCATATGCGGAAAAAAAAAACTACTTCTAATTTTAAAACTAATATTATATTTAAATTTTTGCAGGAAAAAACAACTTCGTCAAAACTTGCAATAAGTATCATAAATACTGGAAGGATTGATGCTAAACTGTACAAGATAAATTATAATTTTGTAACACAAGTTTGACATTCAAAGCAACATAGGATTGGAGAAGTAGTATATTGGTCTCTCAGAAAAATGTAAAAGAAAAGAAGTTGGTCAAAGAATAGCACAAAAGTTTAAAAAGAACTAAAAGATCCCAATTCACTGTAGTTTTCACTCATTAAAAAGCGATCTCTTCAACCCCCTCCTCTTAGGGCAGAAAAGAAAAGCCCAAAATTTCTAGAAAGCAAGGCGTAAGTCAACAAAAACAAGTCCTTAGCTAGACTAGCATTTATATAGGACAGAAATAATATGGCGCAGTACCTAACCTGGTCATATACGCAAAGAAGCAGCATACAGGTAAATGTAAAACGAACCCCATAACTAACAAAGTAATTGGAATACAAACAAGTATTTGCAATGACTGGTCTTCTGGTGCCTGCTGAAACATAAGAAGATAAACCTACCTCCCATATACGACCAGGGATTTCATTCATAAGAGAAGTGAGCAACACTTGATGATATGAAAATACAGATGCATCCAAGACTTCACAAAGCTTTACAATTGCTTTGGCTGCCTATAAAACATAAACAAAGACATAAAAAGCAACAGAAGAAGCTATGTTAAACTTGTGATGCATTAAATAAAAATGGGAGCTTACAGGAAGTACAAACAAATGAGACTACCTTCCTTTTACTAGCCCAAGATGATGATGCAATTCCTTCAGTTATTAGAGCAACAATTTCACCTACATACAACTGAAGGGTGAGACGTTCACTGGTCATATTTTCCTCCCATAATTCCTCATATAGACTAGAGACGTTCTTGTCATCCTCAAACCTGCATAACCATAGAAAAAATAACATATGACTCACATTCGTATCGTAGATTATTTAGAAAATTGATATCAAAGGCTACAAAACAAATTGTGGCTTGTGATCAGGAAGTAGTTTCATAAATCAAACTCTGAAGCCTAATGGAATAGAGGTTTCAATAAGGTAATGGCATCTACGGAGCAAACTATTCTTCTATTTACCTTCCCTACAAAGTCAACTGTTGTGCAAATAAAAACCGTAAAAGGTGGCTAGAGATGATGAATCACCTTTAAGGGTTTATATTTCACTGGTAAGGCAAGAAAAATCCTGCTTATCTTCAAGCAATGTAATCCTAAAGGACATCATGACTTTTTGAAATGCCTGTGTATATAATAGAGTGAAGAAGATACCCAAAATGTACTACCACAATAGAGTATGAAGTTCTGAGGTGAATAAGGACTGGATATGGCTAGGTTCAGGCTATGGGTAATGATAAATGAAGATAGGCTGAGCACTAACAACAACAAACTAGTAATAAGAACAAGGATGGGTAGATGCGCAGTGATGATTCTCTATAACCCAATTACTTTCAGGTGATATTGGTTTAAAATATCTTATCCAAGACCCAATCAAATTTGTAGAACTTGTATTTTCCAGGCAATATCTGTCCTCTTTGAACAGTTTAAGGTAAGTACCCCAAGCCTTCTCCATAGACGTATAAACCTACAAAAACACCTAACAAATACACTAAAGCTGACAACTGAAATCCCTCAGCCTCTCTATCTTCTCATCTCTCCTTGATATATCTTGTTTTCAATTCTATCCCCAATCCTTAAACATAAACTATAAGTTGCAACAGTCTCAGATCAATTCATATGAATTAACACAAAGATCCTATGATAATTACCCAGTAGGTATGTTTACAAGGAGGGTTAACAATGTCTGCTAGAATACTCATTTTAATCTCTCTTCCGGACCCTTCGCTCGTATGGGCATAACATATTTCATATGTGGATACCAATAACAGATTCAATAAGATCTGGGTCGAAAGATGAAGTATGTTTCTGAAGCTAACCTTGAAAGAAAAATAACCGGAACAACTGTTGCATAATACCCATTCAAGATATCAGCAGCTGTCGATGCATAGCTTTTTAATAGCAGCGCACATGCAATCTGTGAATTTCTATCACCAGTATGCAAAGCAGCAGTTTCTTCGATAAGCTTTTGAACCTGGGAGGGAGGTGCATATTTTATGACAAAAGCACAAGAATTTGCAAAGGCACGCTTCGATGCAGCACTTCTCTCTTCCTTGACCACTAGAAACAGAAGCCTCAGTAGCATGCTCGTGAATGGTTTAATACTGCTTCCAACCTTTTGAACTAACAGACTAATAAAGCTAGCAACACCAACCCTGTGCACGAACATAAGATGAAATAAAGTATCAGTATGATTGAGCAAATGCACTTCATGACATGAGAAATTCACTCCCAACACAATTAAATCATTTTACGTATGATAGTAAATACAGAGAAGTTGTACAGATCAAAGTTGTTAAAGGCTCAAGGCGTACTTTGGTGCAAATGGGTCCTGGGGCCTAGGCGTTAGGCGCAGGCGTGAGGCGCGGGCCTCAAGAATGAGAGACGCATGTTATTAAAATATGTATATATGCACACACACAACTTAAATATGAAGCAAAGCCTCCAATGCAGCAACCAACAGTACTTCGATAGAGGCAGGGAGAAAGGTTTAAGGCGTGAGTTGTGAGGAAGAAGTTTTAAGGTTTGGATATTTATAGAGAGGGAGGCTTGAAGTTCTAAGGATTGGGTATTTAATATTAGGGTTTGACTTAGGTCATCTATTTAATTTGTCTTTTTTAAGAAGTCTAAGAGAGGACTTAATATTAGGGTTTGACTCGGTATTTAATAACTCCTTATGAGGCGCATCGACACCCACAAGCGCCTCAGCCAAGATGCAGGGCCTTATTGAGCCTCGTGAATACGCCAAGCCTCAACTTTAAAAAAGCCCAAGACCTTGAGCCTTGTGAGCCTCAGAGCCTATGCGCTTTTAACAAATATGGTACAGATGTTAGTAACTTGATGGTCAGAGCTACCAATAGCCTCCTCTTAGTGAATTACATCAATGGTCTCTCGACCATTAGCCCCACCTAGGGTTTTTGCAGCATGGTTTGAGTGTTGGGAAATCCCATGGAAACAAGATTCACACACATGAGCAATATCACAGCAACGGAATGCAAAACAACACAAACAAAGAACACAGATTTTACGTGGTTTGGCCTACTCCACGGCCATCCTAGAGTCATTCTTATTAATTTTAGTTTAGGGTTTTACAATTACAACAAGATGCCTTTATAGAAGAAGAACGGGCCAAAACTTGACATCTGGGGGACCATAAAACAAATTTTCAATCCAGGGGCCCTGGAAATTACAAAATTTACCATCCGGAAAACCCCATCAAGGCCCTTGCACTTTCAGATTCCCACGAGCGTCAAGAAAAACAAACATCAAGCAGCAGCGGACTCCACAATCAACATTAATTCTGCAGGCAGTCTTTTAAATATTTATGGACAACAAATGCCATTCTTCCAGGTGTATAATAGTAAGTTAACATGTGTTTATCTAATTATAACATATCAAAAAAAAATTCTTATCCACACTTCCCACCCAGCCTATCACACCCGTTCTTCTCATTTTCACCCAAACCAGTTGAAGAAATTCTGGAGTGTTTATGAGAAGGAGATCAACCGCCAAGAAATTTTAAGTTGTGTACAAGAAATTTGAAGTTCCAACAAAAGATAATAATCAAACAACTAAGAGAATCAAAACATTTTTAGCTTTAGAAAAAACAAAGATCCCATGAGTTAAAGCATCCATGAAGAAAAGAATCATGAAGTTGCTTCAAGCAGACATCAGAAGTGGGAAATATAGACAATAATTAGGGAAGTCTTGGGTTTGTAATCCAGAAATACAGAGAAGATCTTTGATGATGATGATGATCACGAATACGCACTATGATTATCTTCTAAGGTGCTAATTAAAAGGTAACAAGAGAACGTTTTGGATACTGATGCTACTTCCACCACTTCCATCTGGTTCTGGTCAACGTCTGATTCCACCAATCAAACCGTTACATGTCAATGACTTCCTTAAGACAAGCAATGTGTACAAAGATTGTTATAGAGCAGGAGAAAGGAGGTGTAATTTCATGCATTACCAACCCAACCATGACATAATTTGTGTGAGCACCTTTCTTTTTTTCTTTGTGGTAATTTGAAAATGCATGAATCAGTGTTTCATAAAGATGATCACGAAGAAACAGTAAGAAGACAGAGAAAATGGGAAGGGGTAATTTGTGTTGTACTATCATTAATATAAATATGATAAAATGGCCAATACACTCTTCAAAGATGCCATGGAGACAAGCGTTGTTAGGTGCTCCATTTTATTTTCCCATTGAGGCCGAACCTAAACTTGTGCTCGAGAGACTTCTCTTGGTTGAGGCCCATAGCTTCAATGAGGCATGCCACTTAGGGACCATTTACCAAACTCTTACCCGCGTAAGTGCTTACCGATACAATTTAACACTATCACTTACTTGCCAGGTAAGATTTTGGTCCACCAAAACGGTATCGTATGCAACAATTTACCTGGTAAGCGGTAACCGTGGTAAGAGTCATCGCCCTCACTTCGTCCTTGCCTTCGTTCTTACTAGGTAAGCTTTTTGGTTCTTGCCATATTCGTTCTGAAAGATAATGCGACTTGGTAAGTGCTTACCCGGGTAAGCGTTTGGTAAACAGCCCCTTAGTTGTCTGTGAGGCGAAGGCTTGAGGCACACGAGGCATGGGTTTCATTGAAGCGAGGAACAAGATTTTTTTTTCTAATAACGGATCAAAAAATATTATTCTAGTCCCTTCTAGTTCAAATGAAATCTGAACCCAATCTGAGGCCATTAAGCATTTCTTCCTAGTCTGCATGGCAACGACTTCCCAAAGGCAAGCAACGTGTGTACATAGACTGTAATAGAGCATGAGAAAGGACGTGTAATCTCATGCATTACCAACCCAACCATCGCATGATTTGTGTGTGCACCTTTCTTGTTTTCTTTTGGGGTTATTTGAAAATGCAGGAATCAGTGTTCCATAAGGTGATGAAGGAACAGTAAGAAGACGGGGAAGAATGGGAAGGGGTAATTTGTATAGTACAATTAATAATATAAATACGATAAAATGACTAATACACTTGGAGACAACTTTCTCTTGGGTAAATACGATAAAATGGCCAAGGCCCATAGCTTCAATGAGGCATGCACTTAGTTGTCTATGAGGCGAAGGCTTGAGGGTACGAAGCATGGTTTTCATTGACACGAAGTACAAGATTATTTTCTAATAATTGATCAAAAAAAATTCCTAGCTCTTTCTAGCTCAAATGAAATATGAGCCCAATCTAAGGCCATTAAACATAACTTCAATCAATATATTACAGAAAATTGCCTAGGGACCTTCGCTCTAAGTATGCCTCATCATCTCTTTACCTGTCAACTCTTCTCTTTGTTGATTATGGGTTTGAGGTTCATCGTATAGAACTTACTATGCAATAAGTGTTGATTGATGATTCTACAATCCAAGATAACAGAATGTTTGTGATTATTTTATAGAATACTAGGGATTTTTTATATATATGTTGCCAATATATCTACACATATATAATATGTGTGTGTTCTAATGGTAGATAAAGGAATGCTAGATAACTTATGGAGAACAAACAAACTAGAAGAAATTTGTATTTTATTCTCTCTCAATACTTGATCCTGGCACTTGAATTTTCCTTGGAGAATGCTTATTTGACGAACCTCTAGGTCTCCAAACTCCATGAACATATATATATGTATGCACCTCTGCATATGTGTGTATGCAACTACACAAATGAGCGAAACAACAAAGTATTCAGTGATTGTATGAAATATTGTGTGTTGCTGGATTTCAATCAGTGACTTTAACAGCCAAAAGCTATTTAATGCCATCAATATATTAAGGCAATTACACCAAAATATGGCATCCTATCAAAATTAACAAGTAATAACTTACATGCTTATATAGGTTTCAATAATTTAAAGGAGGAAACCAGATCAATTAAGGTACATGAAAAATGGGTTATACCTAGTATTTAGACCAACACCAGATCTAGCCAACTGGGAAAGACGAGGAACCAACTGCTCCAGAGATTGGTCGTCAACAACCTCTATGCACAAATCAAGAGTTTCCCACAGCGGAGAGCTCTTGGCAATTGAGATTCGTAGGTTTTCGAGCTTCTCTGTTTGTATCCCAGCATTTGCTGCATGCATCTATAGTACAAAATGAAGTCCATTAATATCATCAGATGAAGTATAGAGCAAGCGAGAGAGGAGGAAAAGAAACTGAATCAGCGAGCTTCCTGATCTAATAGAAACCAGCTTTCTGATCAAATAGAAACCAGAAAGAGTATATAATAAATCATTCCTATATTTAGCACCAACAGTAACAAATATAAGTCAAACCTCGACATAATTCAGCCCTTGGTCCTCAAGGCTTGATAAACTTTCAAGCATGCAACAAACTAATTCAGATAAATGTGGACGGATTGCAATGCCTGCACCCTGGAAATATGAACATAAAATTAATGTATAATAAAAAAAGAATTCAAGAAATTGATGTACTAGTTCCAAGAAGTATAACACTATAATTACCTACGTAAAGAGAATACTCAAGAAGCTATGACCACATTTTCCGTAATATTTAGAGCATATTTAAAAAAGTACTACTACTACTACAACAAACAGTTATTGGGCTGTCAACTTTCACTAGATTGCATTCATTGGACAGACTGGCATGAGACGCTCATTGGTCTAAGGGTGATGGTTTGCAAAATCTAATATATACACCCAGACACCCAGTGCATAGCAAGAATATTAGAAGATAGCATCAAATGTATTTTACTCTGCTCCATACTTCATAAAACGTGCCTACGCGACTTAGGATGTCTTGTAATTGTTCACTTATTCCAGATTTGATATATATTGTTTGTAGAAGAAGCAATAACTATATTAAACCACATTGCCCTGCACCAACCACAGCAATGTTTTTCTATAAAAAAGAATGTAGCAATTTTATTGGAATTCCAAGTCAAATTCAGTCCAAAGAATATTCTTCTACAGAAGTCAAGATCAAACTCAAATGTCAGTTCTAAAACAAACCCGTGAAAATTGATACTCCAAATGTCATTTGTGTAAGATGAAGATCGAGCTTTCTGTCTAATTAGGCTAGTACACTTCTTTTTTCCATTAAGAACACTTAAAGTCTCAATCTCGAGGCTTACGTGAAAATTGTGGACCATGCCTCCTCTATGTCAAGAAAAATAGACCAACACACTTGGACTTAATTGTTGGTTGATCAGTTACTATTTCTTTCATAAAATGCCTATTGCTCCATTATAATGAAAGGTAAACGTTGAAGAGAACATATTTTTGTGTATTTCTCTTCGATACATTTATACAACATAAACCTAACTAATAAGCGCAAAAAACTAGAATCATATTTACATATTTAGCATACTACTTCTACATATTTACATTATACCCTACACTTCTACAACCCCCCCTTCTGAAGGTGGAGAGTCTATGATTATCTTTCCCAGCTTGGAGCTAAATCTCCAAATGTAGATGTTGAAAAAGTTTGGTTGCTTTTGAGATAAAGTATGAATTGAGATCAATGACTTTAAGATCAAACAGTTCCATCGAATTGAGTATGATTGTATGTGTGATAGCATCTACTATACCAGGAATATCAAAGAATCTCGTTTTCTACGGCTCCGGTGGGTTCCCTTAACCAAGCCACTGCCTAAAATGCTATTAATGAGAATAGTAATTCACTATTCTACATTTCTTTATGTTATTTGTACCAGTAACTAACTGGTAGCTTCAACTTTTACACTTATGTAGTCACTATCAATTTCCACATATTTATTTTGTCATTGTGGATTGGATTCTTTGCATTGTTCATGGCTGCTTTATTGTCTCATAGGAGTGAGATTGAACCGGAGTTCTCTACTTTTAATTTGTTTAGTAACCTGGTCAGCCACATTCTTGCACATAAACCTTGCAACATTGCTCAGTATTATGCTTCAACACTGCTTTATATCACAATAGATTGTTTCATACTCCCCATTGTGACAAGATTGCCTTGTACAAATAAACAAGAGACATAATTAGATCTCCAATCAGCCAGGGTTCCAGCCCAATCCGCATCGGTAAATACTTTGGTTCCTCTGCATGCCCATTTTTGAATGTCAATCCTTTACTTGGCATACTTTCGAGATACTTTAGCATCCAATATGTTGTATCCATATGCTCTTATGTAGGGTTGTTCATGAATTGACTTGCCACACTCACAGAGAATCCAATCTCAGGCCTTGTGTGGACAAGTAGACTAGTTTCCTTACCAACTATTCATACCGCCCTTTGTCCACTCAAGCACAACCTTGTTTGGTGCCTACTTGTTTTTAGGGATCCATTGGTGTATAAATAGGTCTACTCTCTAGCATTCTTGTTTCGTTTAGCAAATCAATGAATTTAAGAAATTACTAGAGATCTTTTAGTGAATTTGGATGCGTGAGACAGAGAATTTTATTAGATGAGAAAAACGTGAAGTGTTTACAACATGACCCACTTATTTATAGGCTAAATAGAAAAAGGAAATAACACTAGAACTAAAGTCACACCACTCGACAAATCTCCACCTTGACTTCAAATTCTACAAAGATTGCTTCTCTATAATTGTGAAGGGACTCCATTTCTTCACTCATGGCTGCTACATCAGCCTCCTTTGTTGTGATTGCTTCTCTATAAGTAGACGGCTCAAAGAACTTCAATTCTTCAGCAACTTGTAATGCATAGGCCACCACGTCATCAAAACCATACTGAATTGGCCTACCAACTTATCTTCGAGGCTTGTCTAACGCTATGGACTGAAATTTCATAGGCTCGTGCTGACTTTCGGACTCAACAGGTCCTGTTTGAGTCATGTTACTGCGCTGTCCAGAAACATTCTCACCCTCATCTGAATCATTTAACTCATGCTCCACCTGTTCGGAGATCCTCTCCTCTTGGTCTTTTGAAGTAGATGAAGTAGACGAATACCGTACGTCACGCAACATACTTCCTTCATCAAATATTACATCACGGCTGAGAATCACCTTTCTTTCATCAAGTGACCAAATTCTATACCCTTTTACTCCAGCACCATATCCCATAAACAACCCCTTCTTTGACCTTGGTTCCAACTTTCCTTCACTCACATGGTAGTATGAAGGACAACCAAACACCCGCAAATTCGTGTAATCATCTGGCTTACCGGACCACATTTCAATAGGGGTTTTACAACCAATTGTTGTTGCAGCGGCACCCAATTCACCAAGTAACAAACCGTGTTTAACGCCTCAGCCCAAAAACCTCTAGACAGCCCTGCATTTGACAACACACATCTAACTCTTTCTAGCAACGTTCTATTCATCCTTTCGGCCACTCCATTTTGCTGTGGAGTGTCCCTAACTGTTCGGTGCCTTGGCATTCCTTCATCTTTACAAAACCGGCCAACTCATTCGAACAAAATTCCAAACTGTTATCAGTTCGGAACCTCTTTATCTTCTTCCCAACTTGATTTTCAATGAGAACCTTCCATTCTTTGAAATTCTCAAACGACTCACTCTTATGTTTCATGATAAACACCCAAGTCATCCTAGAGTAATCGTCAACAATTGAAAAGAAATAACGGCAACACCAAGAGAAGAAACCTGTGAAGGACCCAACAATCAACATGTAGATAGTCCAAAGTAGACTTGGTATTATGGACAGCCTTTGAAAAACTCACTCTCCTTTGTTTTCCAAAGATACACTACTCATAAAAGCCTAGTTCAGCAACTTTATGACCTCCAAGAAGTCCTTGCTTGTTGAGCATGAGCATGCCTTTCTCACTAACATGCCCCAACCTCATATGCCACAAGAGTGTCAAATCTGACTGGTTTTTATCAGAACTAAAGGCTGGCGATGCTGACCCAACAACCGTGTTGCCTTCAAGCACATACAAGGTACCTTTCTTGACTCCTTTCATCACCACTAATGCACCTTCAGAGACCCGAAGTACTCCTTTTTCACAGTTGTACTTGAAACCTTTGGAATCTAAGGCTCCCAAAGAAACCAAACTCTTTTTCAAATCAGGTACGTGATGAACATCAGCCAAAGTTCTCACTACCCCGTCGTGCATTTTGATACTTACCGAACCTATTACAGCAACAATACATGGAATGTCGTTCCCCATTAAAACACTTCCTGTTGCAATCTTTTCATAAATATCAAACCAAGCCTTATTTGGTGTCATGTGAAACGAACACCTGGAGTCAAGAATCCACCCATCTTGCTGACTTTTAGAGTCAACTACTGAAAGAACCAGATTAGCCTCTAAACCCGAATCATCTTTACCAACAACAGTGGATGCCTTCTCTTTTTGTTTCGGACATTCATTTTTCCAACGTCCAAGATCACCACATCTGTGGCATACATATTTCGGGATAGCTTTTGATCCTCCACCCTTCGATCTTGATCGACTTCTTCCTTTCCACTTGCCTTTACCTTTCTCTCGACCCTTTTCTCTACCTCCATTTACCACTAACAAGCCAACAATTTACTACTAACAAGCCAACAGGTTGGCTTTCAGTTCCATTTCCGGAAGCTTTATGGCACAATTCTCTTGAATGCAAACTTGATTGAACTTCTTCCAAAGTAATTGTATCCCTTCCAGCTACAAATGAGTTGACAAAATTTCCGTATGAGGGTGGCAATGAAACCAATAAAATGAGGGTAGCATCCTCATCTTCAACTTTGACCTCAACATTCTTTAAATCCATAAGAATGGAGTTTAACTCGTCAAGATGTTCCTTCAATGGCATCCCCTCCATTCGAAGCGAAAATAACCTTTGCTTTAACAACAACTTGTTTGTTAAAGACTTTGTCATGTAGAGACTCTCAAGTTTCATCCATAAAGATACAGCAGTCCCCTCATCTTCGACCTCGTAAATCATTTCATCGGCCAAGGACAAAAAGATGGTGCTGTGAACCTTCTCATATTGTTGATTAAACTCGGCATCGGCCATATTTGCAGCCAAGGGAGTCCAAATTCCTTGTTGTTTCAGGAGAGCTCTCATCTTAATTCACCATAAGTTGAAATTATTCTTCCCAGTAAACTTGTCGATCTTGATCATTTGTGGAGGCATCACCAAAAACTTGATTGAATCGAGGCAAGTGCTTTCGATCACCAAAGGATGACCAATTCCAATCGACCTCCACCTAGAATCGAACACTAGTCACCAATTGATCACCCACTCGTTAATTGATCAGCAATTACAGTCACCAGTCATTAATTGATCACCAATTTCAATTGCCAGACACCAATCGATCACTAATTTCAGTTGCCAGAATCCAATCGATCACTAATTTCAGTTGCCAGACTCCAATCAATCACTAATTTCAAGATGCCGGTTCCCAATCGATCGCCAATTTCAATTCCAGAAACCAATCGATCGCCAATTTCAATTCTAGAGACCAATCAATTGTCAATTTCAGATGTCGCTCCACCTTGAATCCTGCTGCCTTGAATTGGACTTCAAGATTGACGCAATTGATTGCCAAGATTGCAATAAGGAGCAAATTCAAAACACTGGTCGACTTGATCAATCGCAGAAGCAGTCTTGATCAATCGCAGAATCAAGAACCGAAAAAACCCAGAACCAACAAAAGCGTGTCTTTTGATCACCATGCTCTGATACCAATTTGTTAAGAAATTACTAGAGATCTTTTGGTGAATTTGGACCCGTGAAGCAGAGAATTTTATTAGATGAGAAAAATGTGAAGTGTTTACAACATGACACACTTATTTATAGGCTAAACATAAAAAGAAAATAACAGACTAACTAAACTAAGTCTACTAGAGCCAAAGTCACGCCACTCGACAAATGACGTTACTTTCATTGTGAGATGAAAATGCCTTTATGTGATCTACCTTCTTCCATCCCTAGGAAATACTTCAGATTTCCAACATCTTTAATCTCGAATTCCTTAGACAAGATATCCTTAACCCGAGCAATTTTGTACATGACATTTCCAGTAAAAACAATGTCATCAGCGTAGACCATGAGGATGGTTATTCTTTGGTTCAAGGCATGTTTGCCAAAGAGAGTATGATCAACTTGACATTGAGTATATCTTGTACCATTTAGGACTCTAGAAAATCAATCAAACCTTGCACGAGGAGATTGTTTGAGGCCACAGAGGGACTACATGAATTTGCATACCTTGCCTTGACTTGCTTTGGTAGAAAATCTGAATGAAATTTCTAAAAACATCTTCCTCTAGACCTCTATCGAGGAATACATTCTTGACGTCAAGTTGGTGAAAGGACTTGTCAAGATTAACAGTAACAGATGATCAAGACTCTGATGGTATTTAGGTTGGCAACAGAAGCAAATGTCTCTTGGTAATCTATCACATAAGATTGGGTGAATCATTTGGCCATTAGACATGCTTTGTGCTTGTCAACTTTCCATGTGCCTTATGCTTAACATAGAGAATCAACTTGCACCCAGCAATTCATTTTCTTGGATGAAGGTCTGTGATTTCCCATGTTTAATTCTTTTCTAACGCCATTATCTCTTGAATCTTTCAGAATCAGAACTTATAGGACCTCCTGGATTGATGTTGGAACCTATATTTCATCAATTCTAGAAACAAAAGCAAGGTAGCTTGGTGATAAAGCTTTGTAAGATATGAAATTTTTATGAGGATATGAAGTACATGCTCGAACTCCCTTTCTTTTTGCAATAGGCAAATCTATATAATCAACATGAGTAGTATCAATAGGAAGCATACCCTAAGGTTCATCACAAGAAGGATCTTGTTGAGACTCATGATGCAATGTTGAGGTTGGACAACCATATCCCCTCCTTGCTTCCTTTTCCATAAATAGACTAGTATCATATTTACATGTTTAGCATACTATATCTACATAATTACATATTACACCCTCTACTTCTACAAAAGGAAAGGAAATATATTTTATTTAATCGCCTGAAAGAAAGAGGCACTTTCTTAAACATGCATGTAACATTTCTAGATATGAACTCCTCATGAATCCTTAGTAGTGTTTGTAATTATCGAAGTGTTGTGGTTTAAGATCCACATGTCATTGAGGTGAATGAATCCACGGTTACATGTTGCATAAATAAAATTTTGAAGAATAGTTTAAAGCTATAAAACTGAATGCAAAATTAGAGTCCTTGAGAAGTGCTATATTACCTTTGCAAGCTTTGTAACGACCGTAATTGATGCCTTACGAATATCATCTACTTTACTCATTATTCCTTCAGTCAGCAACAAAGGCAAAACAATATCCATTGCCTTTCTCGCATCAGAAATTTCTGTGAGAGATATGTCACATAGCCTCAATGTTAAGGAGGTAACAGCGCGGCATAGTCTTTCCCCAGAAGTTCGAACAGTCTCCTTTATGTCATCCATAGCACGAAATGCAGCTGTCCATATGTTCTTTAGATGCTTGCCAACCTATGTATTTGTATTGAGTAGCAAATACAGAGTATAAAACATGATACCCCATTAAACTCGATGAAAAGCAACAAAAAAGTGAAATCTTCTATGTAATTATACTAAATACAATAAAATACCATTGCACATTTATGAAGACTGATGTTTTAGGGCCCATATGTAAACTAAAACCTTGTGTTGTGTCAAAACTAAGAACATGACCAAAGGGGCATAAAGCGTTGTTCCCCTTTTTCTTCTTGTAGCAGTTGAACAACTTTAACTGAACAACCAAGTTATTAGGTAAGACTAACATGCTCTACAGGATTCCATTTCAGAACTTATACAGAAAGTGACTGCATAATGCCCCTCTATATTAAGATTTAAGAATCATTGAAGGATTATTGGTCTGTATTCATTAAATATTTGATATGCTCAGATTTAGTTTTTACTATTTCTCACTGCCATGCAGTTCCATTGAGGTGTTCATGTAATGCTTCAAACCTCTCTGAGTTAAGCAAATAACCGGTTAAAGCCCTTAAGTTCTGAAAAAAGCATAAGCTAATAACCTGATTAAATTTACGCCCTTGAACTAAATCTGCAAGAGCAAGACATGAAGCCTCGCGTGAGCGCCAAAGCCTGGACCCGCATTGTACCAACATATCTTCAATGATTACATCCAAGTACTCATCAATAGTCTTTTTCGAGTCTGCAATAAGTGATTTCCAAATATGTGCCATCGCATCCTATAGGCAAAAAAGGATTCAAATAAAATATATATAAAACAATGACCATGTTTGACGTATGATGAAAAAGCTTTTGGCTCATGCATAAGTATAACAAAAGATTGAACTATTGTGTTATCAGCACAGGGTCAACAAAACAATATGAACTAAATAAGATTATTTGATGAGAAGTCTATAGCATAGACAGATTGAAGCATGCATACCTGCACATTTTTGTCAGGGTCATACTGGTAGCGTACAAGCCTCGGGACCAATTGACGGAGATAGGGTTGTAGTGCATCCCCTGCCAGCTTGGCTATCTTTGAGAACCCAAAAGCTGCACCTCTCTTAGAATTCAAGGAAGCTTGATGATTGGCCAAGTCCATGAACTTATAAATCAGGTCTGGTTGTCCCATCTCATTTGCCAGACTGCAGAGCTCCTTGTAAGTACTAAGTTTCCCTCCACTAAGACTTCCCCCAATGGAGCCCTCTTGAAATACTTCAGTGTCTTCAACAAGCTGCAGAACAAAAATCCCCAAAAGTTAGATACACCAAGATATTATGACAAGGATCAAAATATGAATAACTTTCAAGTGTTATGCAATGCACACCTTCACCGCCCTTTTCCTCTTTCCTGAACCAGTCAGGGTGCCAACTAGTGCATTTACCAAGTTCTTCTTCATCGAGGCATCACCAAGTTCGTAAATAATACTCAAGCCTTGGGATGCCAATTCTTGGGTGAGTTCATTCTGCTCACCAATTAGGTGTGAAAACGCTTCCTGGAATGATGGAGCATGGAAATGGACTCCAATATAATTAGAAAAAATAAATCAAGGAGCTTCTAAAACATATCAAGGAAAATACATGGGAAAAACAGATAACTACCAAAATGGCACTGAATTTCAATGATCTAAATCTAAAATTCAATGGTCATTTTCTATAACCTTATCAGCAGGCTGATTGACCCCTCAAGAATCCAAGTGTATCATCATTTCACGGTAACAAGCAATAGCGAAAAACACATTAGCTTGCTAGTAAACCACATTATAGCAATAGAAGATATGAGTTAAAATGACAATAACCGTCCACCAATTGGAATTTGATTATTTACTGAATGAAGTATTTTAGTTGTATGATTGTATTCTATCCAACTAATAATACAATTAGGCTGGTTCAACTCTTCACTTATATTGGTTTTGCGAGCACTCTTTACCCTGCTTGCAGGCTTCTCTTATTGTGGAATAATACTTTTGTTTTTCATACCAGGAATTTCAACAAGCTATTCAAGAACTAGATCTTTTTACAAATATAGGAAATAGATATCCCTATCTTCTGTATTTTAATTTAGTTTTACAGGGTTTTAGAGTTTTGGCTTGTTGGCCTGACTTTATTCTTTCCTGCTTTAATTAATAACATAATTTCTGAATTCATTCTTTTCATGGTACTAAAGCCACAAGCCTAGCTACAAGATTTGTTGAACAACATGGCAAGAGTGATCGATCCCATATTAGTGTCTTAGGACAAGTAGATCCCATTGGCTTGGGGCAAGCAAGCATCATTCACCACAGCTTGGTTGATGGAGTGAATGGTCTCAGATTGATATTCATTTTGCAAAACAAAGATGTTCCACAATCAATAGACATGGTATCCAAACAGTGTGATGAGCAGGTCAAGCATTCCCCTCTAACTAGTCATTGTCATGTATTATTACAGATTTTGGGGTATCTCAATCGTGCTCCAGGGGAAGGTCTATATAAAATCATGGGCCTGTCCTGTTTGTTGGAGATATCTTACATCCTGGATGTTAGAAATCATATCAGACTTGGGTTTACCCTTGCTAGAGGAGTTGTCCTTGTTCTTAGTAATATTGGGACTAGATAACTTTTTTATTTCATGTTTAACCTGCTTTGGCTCCATGTTTCACCGTAGCAGATTCATATCGTTCTTTTCTATAAATTGTGATGCGTCACTTGTGCAATCACAAACTTTGGTTTAGGGGATAAGGGTCTTTGGTTAGGAGAGCAGGTGTGTTACCATTGAACATCATAGAGTATTTTGATTTTTTGTCCATTTTTCTAGCTCACCAGTTCAGCACATCCAACATAATCCGGCCTTGTTTTGATATTTGACATCTTCAAACCAGCTCTAGGCCACATTACAGGATCTTGGGTTTTGGGAAATTCTTTTGTGCTTCTTATCCTTGGCAGTTGTTGGGATGGAATTCTGTCAATAATGAGAAATCTCAAGGATGCTCCAGAAAAGGTCTCTTGTATAATCATCAAGGGAACAATGGAACTACATGTCATTAGGATATCCAGATGCTAGTATATTAACTGAATATTGTGTACATATTAGGGTCATCTTAGATGGTGAAAAACCATGAACATGATGATTATACAAAGGATATTTCAAGTGTACCAAACACAATGAGGTACACTAATGCTTCTTTCATGGAAGGTGATTGGCGCTTGTTTCTAGGTTTGTCAGGAGTCTCATAACTTTGGCTTGCCAAACTATTTCGTATTTTAGACATACTTTCAGGTCACTAAAGACTAGAAAAAGTTTTTTATGAACTAAGTTTTCGCAAGCTAGGGTCTTCATGGAAACAGCCTCTCTACTCCTTGGGGTGGAGAAAAGGTTTGTGTCCATCTTACCCTCCCCCAGACCCTACCCCGTGTAGGATTTATTGGGTTTGTCGGCTTGGTTTGATTTGTTCTTCACATCTGATCTTATATAACACATGTCCCACCATCAAATGAATATCAACATTATTCATCCTGTGATCCTTTCAACACTCTTGTTTTGCGCCAGCGGAAGGGACAAAAGGAAGATGACAACAATACAAAAGATGACCAAAAAAGACTATACAGTAAGTAACCACTTTGAGCCACGATACTATGGTGATGGGACAACTACTCATAAATACTCCACACTAGCAATCTTGGCATATAAGTGACGAAAGGTGTATTCTAAAGTTTGATGCATTGGCTCATGCAGTACCTGAATATCTGGAAGTAATTGCTGAATTGATGGATGATGACCGCAATACATTGTCAGTGATACCAACCAGACAGTTCCACTACATCGCTCTTCTTTTTTGGTACTGTACAATAGATCATCAAATAGCTTTTTAGTAATCATATCTCTAGCTACTACATGACACTCCTCATTTCCTTCAAGACCTATAACGCTAGATGCCGCCACAGCTGAAGATATATCTGCCATTAAATAACTTGAAGTCATGGAGAGTGAACTGTAATCAGTTTTCAGGATCATAGCAGTAGTCACTGGAACTCCCCCCCATAAAAATGAAAGAGCTTCACCAGCAGCAAAGAGGACATCCTCAACCTGCTCAATTAACACATGAAAAAGGGTGGACAGAGTAGCAGGGTCAAAGATCCCATTATTCTTCACAAGCAAAACTACCTTGATGTGTAGATATTAAAAGAATAGAGAAGGGTAACCGGAAGAAATTCTATCTACCTTAGACCGACCAAGACTAAAGATCAAGTCAAGAGCATCACTAATAATGGAAGAAGATGATTCCTTCACACACATATGCCCCAAAGATAGAACAATTCTTTGAATTGATTTGGTATCATCACTAGAGAGGATCTTCTTCAACTTTTCACGCAAGAACGTCAAAACATCATCTGAAGTTCAAAGGATCAGCAAATGGTTGGCACCAGCATAGATAAGCATGTTATATAATTCTTTGGTTCCCAGCAGAGAGTTTATAGGCTCACCTGTGGAAGAGTCATGAACCAATTTTGGTAGTGGGGCAGACAGCCCAACATGACCTAACCCTTGCATTGCAACAGAAGCTAATGTAGCACTATCAGAGTTGACTACATCAACTAGACATTTCAGTGTACTCTGGAGCAATGAATCTGTGATCTGTAGAACAGTTATACAGTGTCATATCATATCCTAAAAGATGAAATGTTAATGAAGTACAAAGTCAAGCAAGCGAAAGAGGAGGGGGTTAAACTGAAATGTGATAAAGATCAAGAATGACTTACAGTAGGAGTTCTCGACAAACAGTTTGCATTGACATATCCAAGAGCACATATCATTCCATGCTGAATTTCAAACCTTGACTTTACCAAACCTTTGATGGATGAAATCAGTTCATGAATAAGATCAGAGGCAGCAGATATAGGAAGAGCACAAGAAGCAATTCCAAGTAAGCGAGCTGCACATTCCCGTGTGTCAAAGTCAACATGGCCTAGTAATTGTTTCAACCACGGTACTTTAACAGCATAGCGAGATCCTAACATCTAAGATTTAAGTATTTATCAGAATTAAGAGCACAAATATGAAACAAAACAACAGTAGGAATGTCCATGTAACAAACCTCGGGAAAGTGAGATCCTATTTTGATTAAAGCCTTAGAGGCAGTAGCATGCAACTCAACAGAACCCTCATACGCCATTGCATGCTCTAACAGCAAACACATGTTCCCTAGAGAAGACCAAAACTCAGGGGTTCTTTCTGTTGCAATCTTTTGATTCACATCCGCCTCAAAGCACTGTAACAAAAACCTGATTATAGCTACATAAGTCTGCGACGGGAAAAGAAGTCGTTCTTCCCTTATGTCACTGGATTCTAGCAACTGAGGCTGTCGTCTAAGAATATACTCTAGCATATCTGTCAGTTTAGGGTACTTGAGATTTAGGTTTTCACCAGATCTTCCTTGATCTTTACCAAGAAAGAGACCTTCCAATGCCATCTCCCTGTAAAGAAATTCAGTAAATGTAGCAATATTAAATAGTAATATAGTCTGAAAATAAGGTTGATATATGAATACATATTTGTGTGGAAACATGATATTTCATCAGGTAAATGCATTAACGTGAACGTACAAGAAACCAGCTCTAATCTTGCATGCAGCAAAAATATGACTCCATCCCAAGAAAGAATATTATCTTTACAAAGAATGTATTTAAAAAAAAACTGATTGGGGTGGACCATAAATAAAAAACCATCCCATAATTATAAAGAGTTGACCACATCCTAGAACAATTACATGAAACTCCATGCTATTTCTCCCGAATTAAATTCTAATAGAGCTACCCCTTCCATAACTAACACCCTATGTTGGGCATCAACTCCCCTATACATTGCTGCACTCAAATATCTTATATGGGAGATAACATCATATAAAATGGTGTACTATTATTTGGTCCTAGGCTGATGCTACCCCAACCATCTCCTGCATATCTTGATGTCTACTCTCATCCTTGCTTTCATTGCAACCTCAACATAGACATTTTTCCTAAACTCCCATTTTGTACAAGTCCTTTTCTCCACAACTAGAGGAGAAACCATTCTCATGGCAGTGTATTGGATTAATTGCATGCCATCTCAAATCCTCAACTTTCAACCACCACATAAAACTGTTCAACATTCTTTTCCTCACACCTGAGTCACATCCAATGAGCTCCTGCTGAAACTATTCGACTATACAACATTTATCCATGTGTACCCTAGGCACTATTAATCATCGAACTCAATAAGGTCTATCCATAGGCTACTCTCCTAATCAAAAAGGGTATAGGTTTTATTTTCTGTCCACTGACCGATTATATATCATTATGGATGCTACATAATATAGAGTATACCCTACTTCTCCAAGTCGTCTGCTTGGGGGAATAGTGAACATGAACCTAGGCATTGGAACCTCTAGGAAACATTACTTGATTCATCAACTGACCCTCGTACAATGTTACTCCACTTGAGTCTAAACAGCGTCATCCATAGTCCTCACATCCATCCACTACCATGCCCTCAGTTTAAGTATAGGTCAGTTCTGTTTCAAGAGAACATACTAACATATTCTAGGAGGAAGAAGAGGAAAAATGTAGAGCCTGAATCAAGTTAACCACTCATTTAGCCCATCGATATGAATTCAAGGTTTTCGTAGAAAAGAATAAGTGAAGATATCCCAGAAGTGAAAGATGTGGACGATTCAAATGTTCCCATTGCCTTGAAGAAATTAGTGAGACGGTGTTCCAGTCATCCTATCCTTATTGGTAACTATATTGTTTATGTTATGAAGATTTGTCACCTAAGCTAAAGTTTTCGTTTCTATTCTCGAGACTACATGGATTCCAAAAAAAAAATCATGAAGCCTTACAAAATCCAGAGTTGAAAAAGGTCGTTCACAATGAGATGAAACTTAAGAAAAGTGGACCATGAACATTTACAAATTGCCCACCATGAAAAGTGGTTGCACATGGATATAAGGATATTTATAGTCACGTAGAAGGTGAATGGCAATGTACTGTACAAGGCTCAGTTAGTCGCTTGAGAGTTTTACTCAGTCATATGGAATCGACTATCAAGGAACCTTCGCACCAGTTGCAACTAAACACAAGTATGATACTTATCTTGTTGGTTATGAATCAAGATTGGCGTCTTTAAGAACTAGATTTAAAAAATGCATTATTAAATGGAGATTTAGAAGAGGAAGTATACATGGATATTCCACCTGGGTTTGAAAGTAATCAAGCAAACACTCACGTCCACAACTCAGAAATGACTCTATGGGCTAAATTAATCCCCTAGGGCTACAACATGGTCAGATGGAATTTCAAAGTTAATTATGAATCTTGGCTATATCGAATGCCAAACAGATCATATGATGTTCATTCGACCAGAAAAATCGCCATTTTGATAGTCTACGCCACTACAAGAATAACATCATTTTAACAAGAAATGATCAGGATGGCCTACAAAATCTAAATCTATCACATGAATTTGAAGTAAAAGACCTCAGAAACAACAAATATTTCATTTGTATGGAAGTGACTCGGTCAAAGAAATGTGCTAATATTTCCCAAACCAAATACATACTTGATGTACTTAAACAAAAAAGAATGCCCGCATTCAAACATGTTGATACTCTTGTGGAACCTCACAAGAAGTTGTGTTTAAGAACTGAAAGTGCATGGTGGACAAGGGAGATAACCTAGTAGGGTGCTCACGTTTGACATGGTATTGGCATGCAGTTAGTGTTGTTTGCAAATATATGCACAACCCAACGAAGATCATTTGGCAGCGGTATAGAGGATTCAACAGCATTTGAAGTTGGCACACCGGAAAGGATTATTCTTTCGAAAATAATTTGAACGTTGAGACTACTTGAATGCGTACTTGGCTAGAGATGCGAATGTCAACAGATCAACTTCCTGGGTGTGTGGGAAACTTGGTCACTTGGAGTAAGAAACGATCAGTAGTGAAGTAGTGTTGAAGCAAATTATAAAGCATTGGCACAAGAATTTGGTAAAGGAATATGGATCAAACGAGTTTTGAATGAGCTCGGTCAGCACCTTGCCTCTCCTATCTAGATGATGTATGGAAATAAGGTGACTATTAGCTTTGCTAAATTCCGCTGCATTATGATTGGACCAAACATGTTGACATTGATCAAGATTTCATCATCGGAAAGATGACAAGTGAAGTGATGAAACTGGACTACATCAGAACTAAACAACAAAAGATATCCTCACCAAAGCACTACTGAGACCAAGCTTTGAAGACCTCATATCCAAGTTGGCACTATATGACATATAGTCTCCAACCTAAGGAGAACGTTGAATTCGAAAGAGAGTTAGGAATGTCATTATGCTTATCTTTTCCTTTTAATTAGCCTCTATTTTAGGAATATATTGGATTATGTTAACCTCTATAAACCGATGTTGCATATGATTACTAATTACTATCTGAGAAACAGAAGAATCAATTAATTCTTCAATGCCAAAGACCCATTGTTCCATATCTCGTATCCCTCGGAGAAACTTCTCTCAACTACATATGATACTCCAAATATTCCATTGCCCAAAGCAAGGTGATATAGTTAATTGACAAAGCCTGTACACCATCTTATTTATCACATTGTTTTTATGCCATTTATCCCTTAATCACTTTGCCTTCATATACATAATATTTGTCCCCTTCTAGGACGGATCCCATTAGGAGCAAGTGTACACTTTGAACCCAAATATGGATAGATCTTTACTCTTTAGTTACTTGAAAGCAAGACTGCTGGCAAATGGCAACAAATTTCAAATTTTATGGGTACATAATAAGAAAAATATACCGAAATGAATTAAATATATTAAGGGTATTAACAAATGCCTTACAAAATAAATAAATAAACCAAAATTTGTTTATTTTATAACAATTACTAATGAATAATTAATACATATGTAGTGGAATTTTATAATAAAATAAATGAAACTTATTTTTGGAGCTATTGAAAATAAAATTATTTCTATTTAATTTAGAAAAAAAAGAACATTGTTTTCTATTATGAATATATATGTAAGTAATTAATTGTTTAACGAAAAGGATATGAGACCTTATTCCAGTGGCCAGATTTGTGATTTCGACATTGCTACTTATCATTAGTGAGACCACCACAACGGCCATTGGGATGTTCCTTGTATCTTTACAATATTCCAAAGTTACCCACGAAGAGTTATTATAGAACACAAATAGGGACACTACAGGTCAAACTTCTAACCTGTTTTCTCAACAACATTCGACAAATTGCTTTTAGAGTTAAGGGGTCCAACAACTTCTCATTTCTAAGGGGTCTGACAACTTCTCATTTCCCCATTTGGAACTGAACTAGCAGCCTCTAAATCCTAAGGTGTGGTCCTACCAATGATGCTTATCATTTTTGGTGAAAAATATTAAACTATAGCATTACAGTTAACAAACCTTATATCCAGTTTAGTGTCTGCAGCACCAAGCATACAGATAAATCTGCTTGGGCAATGTTGCGAGTCAAATAAGGTTGTTGCCCATCTCAGCGCACAAAAGCGTACTTCACCTTGTTCCTTGTAGGAATAATATCATGGATTAGAAGATTATGATTAGTAAGCAGCATAAGTTGAAAATACTAAGACAAGGGGACCCAGACAAAAGTAAAAACAGAGATACGAAGAATTAGCATGTCAATGGATTGTACCACTTGAGAATTTTCCAGCAGAAGCAACTCTAAATCATTTAATACTGTTATTGGTGCATCCTGACAATCAAACAACAGACAGGATTAAAAACTTTCTGCGTATATAGAAAAACGAAGTAGCAATTACGAAGGGTGACTTGATTGGAAGTGATACTTTATATGCAACAGCAAGAGAGTTGGTTGCTTCTTGAACAATTAGACGAATTGATGGAGACTCTAATTTCAGGGCATTAAAAAGCCGAGCAGCCATGTCAATTTTATCTCTGAAAAAAAAGTTTACACCATGGCATTACTTACATAACAAATCGATAATACTAAACTTCAAAGAAGAAAAAAAAAGAGCACCTGAAAAGTTCCGGCAGGCGCTTCGCAAGCAATCCAATTGCTTGGAAAGCAAATGTTTTGGTCTCCCGTGCAATTGTATCTAGATAAATGAGATTTCAAAGACAAGGATTATAAGTTCTAATAGTTTAAAAAAAAAAGTACGCAGAGGAAAAACATGTCCTAACGTAAAAGGTTTTAAGAGAAAGACCTGATTCGGAAGCTGTATAACCATCCAGGGACTTCAGAACACCACTAAGTATCACGGGACCCATACGTTTGAGCTGATCAATTTCTGCCTGTATATTTTTAAGGATGATGATATGAAAAAGGAATGTCAAAAGACTTCTGAAATCCTCTATATCTCAAGAAAAACATAACCTACAGCAGTATTAATTGACCAGAGGCATCAAAAGGGAACACCATTTCGTTCATTACAAAAAAGCCTGCCCATAGAGACGGACCTAGGTGGTTTAAGTGGTGGCACGGGCACCGCTTTGTTCCTCCATTTTAGTGTTAAATTTTATAGGGTCATGAAAAGTGCCACCGTATCAATTTGTCGTGTGCCACCATATATATTTTGAAACTGCAATGAGGACATAAATTTTCCTAGGTAGAGTTGGTTTGCAAGGATTTTCTTCCACCCCAGACCCGAGTTCGAATCCCATTAGTGTCACTTGGTTTTTAGCTTTTAATTTCAGATTTATTATGTCTCTGGAAAAAAATTTGCAACAAAAGACTTGAATAGAGGACCTCACGTATGAAAATCAATGAACTAACCAACAGAATAATGATAATTTTGGGAAAAATATAGTTTGTTATAGTCAAATGGTGCCACCATTTGACTATAACAAACTATATTTTTCCCAAAATTATCATTATCCATTTGAAAAAATTTCTAGGTCCGTCTCTGCCTGGACACATGCTGACATGCATGCCAAAAAAACAAATAACTAAAACAGAGATAGATATAGATGCATTCTTGTATACAGGTTGGTATGACCATGCTGAATGATGAAGTAAAGAATCATAGTAGATACAACAGTAATCTTTCTTGTATACAGATCAATACTAGCATCAAGTCACATACACGATGGAACCTAGAGATGATTTAATTTTGGGTTATGATATTTCAACTTGATAACCCTGCAATTCTGAAAAAATGAAATATCATTATTCATTTGGAATGACTATTATGGTTCCATCTCCCAACGTTCTGCTGTTGGTACACCATCATCACCTAGTACATCACAATATAATAGGACTTAAATCTTTATACACTACAAAAAGGTAAGTCTTTATTTAAACAACAAGCCTTTTACCCACACTGATTGGAATAGGCCACAAGTTAACCTAAGCATGTATTCACAATAGAAATATCAAATCATAAGACCATAAACCACCCTCGTTGATAGCGTAGGATATAAAAAGAACTATACATGTGGTGACCAAAATGATCAAACGTCCAAGGTTCATATGGCAACTAGTGCAGTGTGGATTACATGTTCACATGAATGAGGATTTTATATTTTTAGCATTGCGCACACATGTTCACAAAACCAGAAAAAGGAAAACAATGAAGAATCCAGGACTGCAGATCTCTATAACTAGAGAATTCAGAGGAAGCATTTCTCACTACGAAGTGACAATAAGGTACGAGACTATCAGTGTGTTTCATCTAATCATCCCCATCAAATTGAACAAGCTTAGTAGGATGCAAACAACAGTAGGGATATATGTGGTCTTGAGAAAGACCTAATGATGTGCATGACAGAGCATAGTCCAGAAGATTCCAACAGAGAGAATGTTTTCAGCACATTGTTGACATCATTAATTAGATGTCCAAAAGCTTATGCTTTTGTCGACAGCTTGCAGTAGCTTCATTCACATAATGATATTTCCATCACCTTACAGCAGTTATTTTCTACTTTGAATTGACAAAAAACTTTCTTTATGTGGTATCATTCCATCTTAATTTGTGTGGAATGACGCAGCATAACTTCTTCCAAAGTAATTTGATAAGAAACATATCACTTACATGCTTAAAAACCCATACAGTGAACTCCATTCCTAATTGCTTCAGCCTTGATGTGGTACCATTTCCTTGAAGCAACAGATTCCAACAGAGAGAATGTTTTCAGCACATTGTTGACATCAAAAATTCAATATTAGATAGCAATCTAATGAAATAAAAATGCAAGGTTTGACAATCAAGAAGAAGCATTTTCTCATTCAATCTTTTGCATGAACATAGAAAGGTAATAACAATATCCATATATAACCATTCACATAGTGGCCGGAATGCCAAGTTTGTTAAAAAGCAACAGATACCAAAAGATCATCACACGCTATTGATACAACGATTGACCCAAACCCAATTTTAGATCACAAGATTCCCACAATCCGAAGGTCTAGAAAACTAACTTTCAGCTTGGGTAAGATAACAATATACCATCACAGAAACTCTTATTGGTGGTTACAAAACCAATGAAGTGGTCCCAAGTCATACATTGGTTAAGCTTATCCACCTCACCAAATGGGTGATTGAATTGCCACATGCAGATACTACTTACTGGTGTATAGGAGAGAATAGCCAGCATAAAAAATGCAGCCATGACTCACATGCTTAACCTAGTAGATACAAGCTATCGTTAGTGTATAACTCTCCCCTCTCCATGACACCAATGTCATAAGCAGGGAAACCTTGGGAAGCCTAAGAAGTCCGTCGAAAGCGGACAATCAAAGTCAAATAACTAAGGGCAACTCCATAGCTACACCAATGTCACAGAACTCGCATAATTCCTATATGTAGAAAAGACAAGTACTTTGATACACATTCTCTCTCCTCATAATTACACCCTATCCTCAAAAGAGGAAAAAGTGGGTAACATTGATGGTAACCATAGATTTACTCAATAAATAAACGATGATCTGCAGGAGGGAACCATCAACACAAGGAACCTAATCCCCAATTGGTAGACCCAACTCCCTATGCGAGGTGCATTCCACTTAAGCCTAACCAAGGATTCAATTACAGGAATCAACAAAAAGGTCCACTAGGCAAGTGTAAAGCATGCAAAGACTCTGTACATTGAGTAATGTAAAAGATGAAGCTCAAAATCCTGACCTGTCTCTCCCTTGCAGGAAACACTTGACCTGGTTACTGATGGTGAAAGATCATGAAAGGTAGAGGAAGGGTGATTGCTAACAAGCACTATAACCCCTTCACTGCCAAGCACGTTTCCTTGGGCCTTGGGGTATAAATAACCCCTTCACCTAACCACCATGAACAGTACCATTTCACTGAGCTCAACATCCATACCCCTGCAAGAGCAAGATGCATCTATCTTCTTTTTATAACTTGGATGTTTTACCCTCTTTACCCCCTTTGACTTGCTTACTAATTATATTCCCTCCTTCCCTTTCCCTATTATACTTGCTTGCAAGTATGTAAGCCACTCTTAGAGGGGCATATATCCCACATTGTTCGCTTCTCTTGCCTAATGCAAAAAAATTCCTAAATAAAAAAACAAAAGAAACCATCAAGAGTAGCCTTAGTCATAACTCACGTCAATGCTAACAGGGGCATTATCCATCAAACCCTGAACAAACGACATTCATGTTTCTCTTGGATATTAGACATAAGAAAGTGGTGATACTAATTGAACAGAAATCTAGAGTCATGCAATCCTGGTATCAGAATAGCATAAGGAAACTCACTTCCCTATAACAAACGCAGAAATAAACAAAAATAAACACAGAGAACAAAAACCTTATAGAGAAAATTGTAGGTAAAAGAGAGAAATTAAACTAATCAGAATCTTGAGTGTACAAAGAAATGAAAGTCATTCAACCTGCAAACCATATACACTGCCCCCTTGCAATCTCAAAAGTACAAAGAATAACAGCAACAAACAGAACCCCATGATACATGTGTGTATCATTGAACCAAAACAGAACAGGCCCAAACCCTCTGTTAAATTTTCCCACTTCAAGGTTGCTGCGAAATTGTCATGCAGCTCGAAACGTATACCGGCTACATTCTACGTGACCAAAACTACCAACATGCAAAGAAGTTGGCATGTAACAAGTACCACCACTAATATGAGGAAACAGTAACACACAAGAACATCTCAAATGGTTCAACAAAATCCTACAACCTCACCACCAAAACAACAAGATCCTCCCGAATGGCTTCCCGGAAAGAAAAATAATAGACATGGCAAATATATTCAGAATTGACCAAAAATACCTTCATAAGAAGAGCAAGAACAGAAGGGTGCTTATTAATGTTCTCAAATGGAGACGGATAAAAATAACCCTCGCTCGTTTCTAATTTTAAGCACTTATTTGATTATATGATCAAAAAGAAGAACAAAGAACCGAGCATGCCTGATCCAACAAAAATCATAGATGATAACAAGATTATATTTATTTATCTAATTACAGCATGCTGACCACCTCTATCTGATTCTTGAATGCATATATTTGTATATGTAGTTCAGAAGATTCCCAGCATAGCAAGATTCAATGTTAGATATAAGTTTATGCATATATGTTTGATTACATGTCAGTGAAATAATCAATAGAAAAACTGCAACACCAGATGAAAGTGTATTAGTATAACCCTCCCCAAACAAGAAAAGTGGAGGCAAGAAGAGAGTAATTTGAATGTGTGTATGTGGATCAGTATCCATTCTCCAATATGCCAATTAAATCAACACACATCCATCCCTCCATTGGCAAATATGACGGCACATTAACTAAATATATATAAGGGCTTAATCATTTGAGAACTCCAAAATTTGTAAGATGCGTGAGAACTTCTACCTAAGGTTTTGTTTCACATATTTTTTTCCATCTAAGTATAGTATTTAATGTATGGATTAACATATTTGTTTCATAATGTGTTTGTTACATATGTATTCGGTTCACAATGTGAAACTCTTTTACATATATTTTTTTGTTTTACAAACACGCCTAGAAAGTTTCACATTGTGAACGGAATAGATGTGAAAACAATCACATTGTGAAACAAATATATGTTAATCACTACAATAAATTCTAGCCATAGATGAAAAAAAATCATATGAAATAGCACATGATGCATTGGTTCTTATAGATCTCATGATTTAGAGAGTTCTCAAAAGGTCCCTCAATATATATATATAATATGTATGTACATCCACATATTTACGTCCAAATATGATGGCTCATGTTAAATATATGTACGTCCACACAATTCACCATAGGAACAACATAAAAGGCATAGGTTTGTCTGAGGAAAACACACGTACCATATATGCAGCCAAATATACACTGTAAAGTTGAAGGGAAACTATTTGCTGCTGTAACCGACCGGCAAAAAACCGACATCAGTCTCACTCTTATAGCAGGATTCCCAGGACTGACTCTTGAATCTGGAGCAATATGTTCAGCTCCAACAGTCCCTGCACAACAAAGATCAGTGTACATTTAAGATTTTCTAGTCTCCTAATAATGAAGCATGAATCTCTAGAAAGGTTGGTGTAATCACAAACAATTAAGATAAGTAACATGACCAAGAAACACACCCACCAAAGACACTATTGTGCTAGGATACAGGGATAATTTAAATGCATAAGAAATCCTGCCCAATTGATAGTGACAAAATAGGTCTCAAAAAAGTGTTTATGTATATTAATCAACGCAAGAATAACTGGAGGTACCAAAAGGACCAAGGAGCAAAAAATATAAAATAGGTCCTAAACAGTATCGAACATAAAGCACATGAATCTCATACATCAATACTCCACAAGTTGAAGCACATATGTCGTACATGCCCAACTTGCTAGTTGCTACATATACGATCACATTGAGTTTTACAAAGTGGCCTCATGGAAATACACTAATACAGGCTACATCATCTCCAGGATTCACCAATACCAACTCGATAGACGGGAGGTCCACAAGTACCAATCACCTTCTCACAAAGTGACTATGTGTTTGGCTCACTCATGAAACATCTTATTCTTAGGATATGCTTAGTTGCCTCATAAAAATAGATGTAGAATAAAACATACTGAGGTCACTCACTAGTTGTTGTGCCATAGTTCATTAATCAAAAGCAACAATGGAAAACGAAAGATACCGTTTCTTGTTTTTCCAATAATTACAAGCAATACATCGATCTGCTTTGTTAACATCTTGCATGACTCAAATCTGAATAACATGCAATCCAATTGTGCCCCTTATTTGTACACAAAAGACTCCACCCTATGCATACCTCAAAATCTGCAATATCATACCCAATGACTAGTCTTTTCGGGTGACATGAATATGTTCAACGCTCACAAAAAATGCATTATTAAGCATAGTGACCATGAGATGGGACTGGTTTTGGTACACAAGATTCCTCTATTTTGTCTTGATTGAGACGCATATTAGATATTTGAGTGATGCTCTACATTAAAATATGTACCAATTAACTCTTGCATTTGTTTTGTGATGGAGAGAGTATTAGTTTACCCTGGGTCAATCATCAACTAGGCCCTATGCCCACTCAGGACCATCCACCAATCAAAAAAATAAATACAGAACATTAACAATGAAAAAGGTCTTCTTTTTATACATTGTTCAACACTGGGCAGCAGATAGTTACGAGGCTTTGTGTGGCCAATTTTGACCTATGTAGCCTCAACATGCCTTCAATTTCACAGGATCTTACATTGATCAAGCTGCTTCATTATACTTTTCTAGGTGCTCTACGTACCATTCAGCTAGAGCCCCCAAAAAAACTTACACAGCTTAAACCAGATGTCTTTAGATAGACAACATTTTTGTAACTACGGTAACACTAAAGTTATGGAAGCAAATATGAAATATGATATTAAGATGTTAGGTAAAGCAGACAACTAGCCCAAGTTGAAAGAAGCTACTCCTCAGGTTTCCTGTTTCATACAGATAAATTGTTCAACTTTCCATACCATTGAATAGCAAAAACAGCCTATTTATCAGCTTGGCATCTTCTAACTGTACTCCAGAAGTTTTCTTCTTCAAAAGTTCCTCGCCTCTCTTAATAACAGGCTCATGTCTGAAAGAAAAATACCGAGAAAAAACGAACTCATCCTTAGCTAACAAGCATGAGGACTAAAACTTAATAAAGAAATAGGTAGGACACAACTTATCCAAACTTAATAATAAGTAAACACCAAACTCATACCTATCCACACATGCAGCAACATATAGAGGATATACAAGTTCAACTGGCAGCTCCATGACATCTATAACGTTCAATAAACCCAACTAGAAAACAGAAAAGAAGGTGAAGAAAATCATTAACAATAAAACACACTGAAAAAAAAACATAGATTAGTGCTAAAACACTCCACTGGCTTACCTTTCTAATTAGAAGCATGTCATGAGTCAGTGGACTCTTCCCTGTCACACGGTTGCTTTGAGAAACTGAAAGCCCGGGCGGTGATGCCCCGCTGCAAAATCAGTATAGTAATTAGGATCAAGAAGAAAATTATGATGTCCACTTGAGTAGGAAACAAGATACTCCAAAGGAAACTGAATCCCAACCTAGCGGATGATGGTTGATACAAAAGCGTATGAAGACAAAATTCAACAAACATCTCTCTGTCCTGAGATCCACTTATGAGCCGATACTTTGTAGCAACTTCATCACTAATTTTACTTGAGTGACATTCACCAATCACCTAAAACCAAGTGGAAGGGGATGTAAACCAGTACTGGAAATGGCTTAAGTGACATTCACAACAACATATATGACAGCAAAAAAATAACAACACCCACAAGTTCAGCATACACTTCCAGGTTCAAAATAGTAAAGAGAAGAATCAAATAATGTCACTCTAGATGTTTTTCTTTGAAAATGTTTGGTGTTTTTGATGTAGTATTGCATGTTTGTCTTTTTTGTAAATATCTGTGATTAATGCAACAGACAGATGTAGACGTAAAGAAGAGACAAACAAATGAGTTTATACACACACACACACAGATGCTAGAATAAAACGGTCTACAAGTAGTTAGACTCCACATTTGGACAAAATCAACAATGCAGGAGAAAGTGATATAATTCTAAGCTCTCCGCATATGGACATCTATTCTAATGTATAGATAAACAGATTGAATATGGGTGTGTGAATAAGTTTACAGTATATGGAGCAGATGGATCCTGTATAACCATCAGCTATGCATATGGTGACAAACAGATAATGGAAAACTGCATTATCAAAAATGGTTAGAAGATAAGAGTAAAAATACCTTTACGACTATTCGCAAAATCATATCCTGGTGTTGAGGAGGAAGCTTTGAGATGCTAGCTATCATAGATGGTGCAATATTTTCCTTTTTCTGAATGTAAGCATTTAGAACAAACACAAATTTCAGAAAGAGATTTGCAAACATTTACCAAATCCATGCATGAAAAATCCTCAAGCGCATCCATACAGCAAAGATACCAATACAGACCTCTTTGCTGACACGGTCGAATGCCATCTCGACATACACAATGCAAAAGTTTCTAACCATCGGAGCAGCATTAACTTCCATATACAACTCCCATAACTCTTCCAAAGGCAAACCTATCTGCTGCTGGTGTTTCACTCTCTTGTTGACATGGCTTAGGATTTCCATTACCTATTATAACCAGCAAAAACTAACTTATCCACAACTGTCTCAAATGCAAAGATAAACTCAAAATCAACCAGAACATATGAACATTCAGGGGTAGCCATGTGGTTAACTAGAAGTCTGAATCTTCTAATGCCCTTTTGGTGCCAGCTTTCAATGAGCAAAATGAAAAATCAAAACAAAAAAAAAGATAATGTGCAACACAATAAAAAAACTGAAAGTAAAAACCACATACAAAAATAATAATGATCTCTACAAATAAGAAAAAGTGACATGTATGAAACCGTTTGAGATTTACATGCCACTCAATTAGCTTAGATAGTATGGGGACAATCCAAAAGTAACGTGATGCATGACATCAGCAACTGAAGAAGAAGAGAAGGGAAGGGGAGGAGAGAAAGGAGCCATGAAATAACACAAAACATTTCTAAGTTCAACTGATTTTACATTCATTAACTAGTTTTTTAAACTGAAATCCCCATATGCTATTAAGACTTTAACATAGCCCAGAGCACAAAATCACATGGAAACAACATAAATTCAAAAAACCACAGCTTAACTTAGGTTTGGTTCTTTTGCCAATTATTGTGCTCAAAGGCAGTTGTATCTTGTATGAATAATCCGTGACTTGTGACTACCGTAAATCCTACAGACTAAGATGCACTCATCCTTGAAGATATTAATGCAGGTAAACCATGCAATCATCATGGACATCATCTAAATGAAATACCATGCAAAGGCTTACGGCTTTATTACAATCATATATGACAGCAATGCATAGAAGTAGAAAAAGAAAACCAAATGCATTATACAAGTCAGAGTGCATATTATCGCGGTTTATGAAACACCGTCAGACTCTTTGTGTATACTAGCAGCCTTCTCAAACTTGTTCATGAACCCTTTACCTATCATTTTGGAGAAGTTTTAGTTTGCAACATCAAATTTAGATATTCCAACTACAGAATATCATCTTTACATCCTCTATTCTGCATGACCAGAAGAACAGAGAGCAGATTTATGTGCCTAAACTTGGGAAGTTTGCTGGTGGAAATCGAGATAATGCTAATGGAAGGTATCTTCCCCCCACCCCCTTCCCAAAAAAACGAAAAAATTTTAGAAGTCCATATAATTTCTAATAGAACATATCTTAGAGATGGTGAGCACTGTGCAGAGATCTCATGCACTTATTTGCTATTCTGGGCATTTTCTACCATATCTTTCAAAACTTGAGGAAAGTT